TCTTGAAGCCTGAGAATCACGGATGTTTTTGGCAAGGAGGCTTGTAATTCTAACATAAAATTGTGCACAGCATGGAATGAACAGGGTCTGCATTATGTATCATTCGTTAGACAATTTTTGACTTGTAAAACTCTGAGAAGGCTGAGAGAGGTGGCTCTTTAACACCAGACCAACCACAAAGTTAATTATAAGTAATATGTCTGTGTTGCGGATTTAAGGATGTACAAGCACTAGTGAAACGTTGTAATTAAATACCAGCTCCTAATCCAGGGAGTAATCTAAATATGGCAATAATTGTGTAGTTAGAAAATATGCATTGATGAGAAGATGATTATTACATGCTGGAGAATTTCACTGGTAATTTTAATCTTCTAAAATGAGCTGCACAAAATTCAGATAATCTTTAACTTCAGTTCCTCAGCAAGAGAAGAGCTGTTGGTGGGTTGAAACCAAATGCAGATGACATGTCTTTGTTCTAATAAGTAGCTTTTAAGAAAAGCTGTGAATGACATCAGAGAGCCTCCCAAGAACTTAATAGTTTCAGAATGTCATTCATGGATATTGAGAGTATCTGGCCATCCTCTCGAGGGAAAAAGCCTCACACTGGTAAGTACTTTTTGTTAGCATTTCTCTTAAATGCAATGAACGCTAAGACTTTTTGTCTGTGGGAATGAGGTAAGACTTTCCAATGAGAACTCCAGTTATTTGCATGGAAGAGGTTTGTGTGACTCTTCAAAATAGAGATAACAGCAGGACCTCTGGCATTTGTATTTTTGGATGAATGAGAACAGGCTTTGTACATATGCCCATCCCCGTTTCCTGCCTGCTGGCCATGGTAGGAAACTGGACAGGCTGAAGGCCAGGCTGGGGGCTCACCAGCGTACCTGTTGCAGGTGAGCACTTCAGCAGCTGGTGGTTGGCTTCGGCAAAATGTTCCTAAAAGTCCTTTTACCAGCTCTTCAGGCCATGTTTCACCCTTAGGAGCGTAGCACCTGGCTTTTACTGCACAATGTAAACAAAAACCTATTAGTGGAAGCTAAGTTTAAGAAAACAAAATGGGAGGGGGAGCAAGTATCCCACATTTAATGTGAAAGCTAAGTACTGTGTTTGTGCTTGTTTGACCATAAAGTCATCCTCCTTCCTGTAGGCCACTGCACTGCCTCTGTTCTTTTCTGTGCTCTGGTGGCGAGGGCCCCACTGAGCCAGCACGGATAAAATCTCTCCTGAGGTTTCTTTCCAGCAATGGTGATGTTATCTGGGGTTAAGCTGGGAGCAGGCTTCCATCTCTTCATCCCTTCTGATATTTCTGTGGAAGAAGTGCCTGTACCAAATGCTCTGGTGGACTGAGTCCTTGATTTCTTCCAAGGATACGTTCAGCCTGCTAGTGAGATGGGAAGGTCACTGCTTTCAGGTTCTAGGCTGGCTGAACAAGCTTCTGCCTTCAGCCCCTGTTGAGTAAGTGGCCTCTGTGGCTCTGGAAAAATTCAAGCATAGCACTTGAGTCTTCAACACATGAGACAAAACGGAGCTGCACATGAAAAGAACGTATGTGTTGGTGGCAGCTGTCCTTCCTGCATCACCCCTATGGTAAGAGAGCAGCAGTAACATGGGCAAACTGCCGAGCCTGAGCCCCTTCAGGGCCAAGTTTTAACAACAGCATTATGCATCTTTGCTTTTTATTCAGAGCCCAAAGCTCCCCAACAAGTGCAATTCATGTGCAGCCCCATCTTGCAACTCTGAAGCACCTTGCGTGCAAGGCAAGTATTGAACTGCTTAGGTCTTTTGGGAATAAAAGTCTGGCTTAAAGCCTTTGTGTACCTGTAGGCACTGGTGCTGAGAATAGCATTCCTCTGGACCTGGGTGCCTTTTGGTGCTCTGCAGAGCTGTTCTGAGCAACTCAGTATTGAAATTAGGACTGTAAAGGTCAGGTACTGTTTGTAAGATTTGTGTGCATCGCAGCCGTAAACACCTCTTCTGTCATGTACAGAGTACTCAGGTCTAGCTCTACCTCATACAGACATGGGAGGAGGCCTAAGATGTGTTTAATCAATACAAACTCATACCTAGTTCCAGGTTATACTTCTAACCATCATGTTTGATTATTAGAATCATAGAACATCTTAGGTTGGAAGGGACCTTAGAGATCATCTAATCCAAGCTCCCTGCCCTAGGCAGGGATGCCCTTAACTAGGTCAAGTTGCTCAAGGCCTCACCCAACCCGGCCCTGAACATCTCCAGGGAGGAGGCATCCACAACTTCTCTGGACAACTTATTCCAGAGTCTTGCCACCTTTGTACTGAAGAATTTCTTCCTAAGATCCAATCTAAATCTATTCTCCTTCAAGTTAATTCCATTTCCCCTTGTCCTGGTGCTGGACACTCTTGTAAAAAGGCCCTCTCCAGCCTTCCTCTAGATTTCCTTCAGGTATTGGAAGGCAGTTAAATAAGGTCTGCCCTTGAGCCTTCTCTTCACTAGGCTGAACAATCCCAGTTCCCTCAGTCTATCCTGGTAGCAGAGGTGCTCTAGCCCCTGGATCATCTTTGTGGCCCTCCTCGGGACTCATTCCAACAGATCCATATCCCTGGACACCAGAACTGGATGCAGTATTTGAGGTGGGGGTTCACACAAGAGCAGAGTAAATGGGGAGAATCACCTCTCTATTCTGTAGGATTGGCCTACATATAGGCCACAGTACCAGAAGTCTTATTCCTAACAGCAGACTATCTCAAAAATTATGGAGAAAGGTACCATGGTCAAATTCTCACTGTTACTCAATTTACTTTTTCTTTGTTACTGTTTTTCATGGTCACTCTTGGAATTTTTTTCAACCCACTATGCTACAGTAACAACTTTAAGGTAAAATAAAAAACTGTAAGAAGACAAGTCTAGGAAAAGGAACTGATTTTTAAATCTTACCTTGACTCCTGCTGTGATTGCTTGTGCACTGGGCCTCAACAAAGGAGTTAGGACATCCCTTTCCTGGCAGCTGCCCTGTGCAGCAAGAGGCTGGGCTTCATGGCACCCTGCTGTCCCTAACGAGTTGTGTTCCAGGGGCTGGTGGCTTCAACTACATCAGGAACTGTGAGGCGGCTGCACAACCTTAGGGTGCAGTACCAGATGTCATGAAGGTGGCTCAGAGTGTCTTGCAGAGGCTGTGGTGCTGAGCCTTGGTCCACACTCAGCAGATACAGCAGCTTCCTCCTGGAAGGATTCATGCAGCTGTTTCCCAATCTGGTTTAGTATGCTTGACTTGGATACATAGAATAATTTAGGTTGATTTGAACTACTGGAGCTACTTATTTTTGATGGAAATTGTTTCAAACTTAAAGATGTGAAAACTGGAGGCTAAAGGAGTAAGGGAAAGTTTTTAGTGCTTTCCGCAGCTGCCTGTTTGCCCTCCCTCCACACAGGGGAGGATTTAGGGAGACCAAGCAGTGATGGTTGATCTTAGTAGACTGCGATGTAAAATCACCCCAGGCAGAAACGGGGCTGGTGGCTGTTAGGAAGAGCCCTTCACCTACCTGTGTAAGCTCCATCCTTCATATGTAATGAAGCACTTCATGAGCAGGATGGCGAGAAGAGAGATATGATCTGCCAGAAATGGTCAGAAGGGAGCAGCTGAATTCAATTTCCTCCTCCACCTCACACCTGGCTGCTGGAGGAGACATTAGCAGGGCCTAAGCTGCACTGATGACAATGTGTCTCAGCAGGCTGTATGTGAATACTCTGCTTTTGCCCTTGCAAACGTGAGCAGAAATTTGCCTGGGTTGTATTGAACTTTACAAATAACCAATTCATCCAGATCTGAAGTGAAAACAACTGAAAACAAGAAAGAAAACCCCAAAACTGCCGCCACACAAAACATACTCAGATCATTTTATTGTCACTAGGTGTTACTTAGTTCTACTACTTATAATCTTAAGTGTGGCACAGTAGGAAGCTCAGAATGCAACTACATATTGCCTAACGGTAATGAGACTTAGCTACAGCATCTCATTAAATCTTTTTTGTTAATTGGGAGAAGACAACCTGGCTGCACATCACCGTGTTGAGAATTAGAAACAATCTATGTTAGTTACAGTAAAGAGGAACAGCAAGACACTGATAACTGCAATTTTTTTAATTTAAAAAAAAAAAAAAGAATGAGAACACACGCGCGTGTGTGTTTATAGTAGAGGAAGGATTTGTTGTAGCCTTTTGGCTTCCAAAGTAGTCATGCATTCCCGCAAATCAGTGTTTCTCAAACTGTTAAAGCGTGGCCTCCCTTTTTGCCTCATCTGTCTTTATGCAACTATTAAATTGGCAGCAGCTCAGTTTCTCTGGGGGAGGGAAATCAGAACTCTCAGTAATTACTGGCTACAAGTGTTTATGGACACTGAGCTGTGTCCAGCAATTAAAGGCATTTAGCTGTTCCTAATGCAAACCTTTCAGACAACAATTACAGCCTGCTTTCCACTTTCCTGTCCTTGAGGAAGATTCCCCTGGGCCCTTTTGTAACTCCCAAGGGGGCTGTTGCCTGGAATTTGAGAAACACTGCTGTAACCAAACAGGAGCGTGAGATAATACCTAAGAGCAGCTGTTTAAGCAAAGCTGCTTTCTTTGCAAATAAGGTGTACCATATGCTTTGAAGGCTTTCCATGCACTGGATACTTTCTTTTCTCACACCTGACTTCTGTTAATCAGTGTAGCATGGCTTGTTCACACAGTAGCTCAGTATGGCTGCATGCCGTAGATCAATCTGTGATGCTGTGTTGCTATTCAGAATTACCACCTGCATAACATGTTAAAGAAAAATAGAGTTGCTGTTGGAAAAAAAATCAGATTTAGCTCTAATGTTACGGTACATGTTGTACTGTCCTTTTATATATTCATTGCTTCTGTTCAAAGTTGCCTTTTCCTATATGTTATATATCAAATGCCAATTAGTTTGCATGCAATCAGCTGTTTAGATATGGCAGGAAAGAGACGCCTTGTGTGCTTTTCACTGAGTTGTATTGATATTTCCCACTCTATTCACTCACGATTGCAACTGTTCCAGGGGAAGGAAGGTTAAACAGGTTGTATTCATTGTTCTAGAATTTACAAGAACCTGAGATGAAGTGGCACTGTGTGTTTTTTAGGACACCTTCCAACCCTGCCCACGCCAAGGCCTTCAGCTGAAGAACATCTGCCCCATAGTGTTCTTGTGTAGAAGTTAAAAAAATAAACATCTGGAGGTTGCTCGTTAAATTTGAAAGAACCTAACCCCAGTGCAGCTCCATGACCTAACTCTGTCTTTATTTAATCCTAAGAAGCGTGCGGCCGTTGTGCTAGGAATACTTCTTACTGCTCCTCGGACAGGCTCTGCTGAGAAGCGGTGTCTTCCAGGGCCATATCTTCTTGGCTGGCCCTCCTGCACTCCAGGTTCCTACTCATGAGTATGGCATGAGCCGGACCAGCCTCTCGCCGTGGTTTAGGCTCTGTGGCATCCGTCGCTTCGCAGGTCTCGGTGAGTTGCTGGAAAGAAGGAAGGAAGGAAAGAAAGAGTCAACTAGTCTAGGAAATTTCTAAGTAACACTTCAGCTATTTTTTGAAGTGACAGGTGAAAAGAAGTTAAAAACGGATTTAGGAATGTCATTCTGTGAAACTGCATGGGATTCTTAACATGCATTATTCACAAGGGGCTTTTGAAGAGGTACTTGTCACACTTTGTGTAACACATAAATTTGGAAAGAAAAGCATACCAGCAGCTAGAGGTTTAGTACCACAGATGTACTTGTGTAGAGAACTGTAAAATAATTTGTATTGAAAAGGACTTCTGGAGGTCATCCAGTCCAAACTGCTGTTCCAAGCAGGGCTGACTTCTAAGAAGCTAAATTGGGTTGCTCTGGGGCTTGCTTTATACACCAAATTTAAAATCCAACTTACAAAGAAACCTTTTCATCAAAACTGGAATGCAATTATCAGTCTGAAAATGTTACGCGAAGTGTCGCACCATTGTAAGGAGTCCATTAGTATAAAAGCTTTCCAGAACTGTGCTGTGTTAACATTTAAATCAAACGCTTCCTCCTTACCGCTTTCAATCAAATAGGCATCTGGATTCTGAGCAGATCCTTTGGCCAGGACTAACCTCATCTAAATTTAACCAGGTAGTCTTAGCATATCATCTAGGCTGTCAATGGTTGGCAGAGATAATGAATGTCTCAGGGGAGGATTTCTTCCTGACAGCTCTAAGGATGAAGTGGATTGTCCTCTCCACTGAATACAGAGGCCACACCAACAATTTACTGAGACTTCATGCCCAAATTTTGGATGGCTTAAAGTTAGATGAGGTGAATCCTAGCTTTAGTAGACTGGCTGAGTTCTTGCAAATTACGCTATAAACTGGAGAGTTGGAATTGTGCCTTGTCATTTGATATGTTCAGCTGTGCATGTAGAAATATTGTTAATGTTCATTAGAGTAAAAAAAGCAGGACTGGACCCACATGAGTAGTGTTCAGTCAACTTCTGTTAAAGTTCATGGCAAAGCTCCGGGGAACTATACCATACATGGTATTTTGGGGTAGAGAGCAAAACACATGCAGGCTAAGGAGCTTTTTTCACTTGAGGTTTGGAGAAATCTGTGACAATTATGGAAGTTATACACAGTTCAGAGTGATAGTAGCCAAAAGGTGTCATGGACTTTCCATATCCACAATCTTTCCTTGTTGCCAGTCGGGTTTCCATTTTGATAGGCCAAATGCAAAAACCTGTCTTAATTATGTTGTCACTCAACCTGTAGTTGCAGTTACCCTTTATCTCCAGTCCATCTTCTCGGGTTTCCACTCTGTATTGCTGAGGTGAGAGTTTCAAACTTCAGGAAAGCAACTGACGGCAACTGAAGTTAAATAAATATACTTAAGTAGAAAATAAAACAATAACACTACTATGTGTGTTGAACTTTCCAGGGAAGCTGGGAACAGAACTGAGAGCCTGCAGCGAAGAGGGTTGGAAGCTCCTTGTGTGTACTGTTTTGCTGTTAGAAAATGCTGAATCACGGGGGGTGCAGGTTTCCTTTGGGAAATATTTCCTACAGACTTCCTTTGACTAACCCTTTCAGTAACAATGTTTTCAGGTCCTGGATTGAATTTCTGGTCAGAGAGATGGAGAGAACAAGTGCACTGTTCAGTGGGAACCATTCCTCTTTGTACAAATAATTAACTCCTGCCTAAGCAAGCAAGGAAGGAGCTAGTTAGTCTGCTTATGATGGTACTCAACACCTGGGCTGCAGAAAATGGAGAGCTAAGTCCCTGGTCTGAGTGACAGCAAGAGGGACTTTGCCCCAGTTTGCAGTTTCAGGTGCATGCATAACAGCCGACCTCTCACTGACAAATACATCACTCTCATATACACACTAATATTAAACAGCCTTGTTTTCATTGTGATGCAGCAAAATCCAACCCAAACACCAGAATTCTGATGTTGTTTTGGAAGAGACTCTTTTTTTGACCAGTGAGAAGGAAGAAACCACACAGTGGTGAGGCCAGTTCAAGCACCTGAAAGGAAAGCAGTAGATTAGCTCATGCTTAGGACTGCTATTTTGACTCCAGCCTTACCCGAGTTGCTTGACTTGCTGCTCTAGCCGATGGACCCATGGCAATATTCATACTGCTAGATGACTGGGTGTCACTGGTGTTACCTCCGTCTGCAGCCGAGAGCCCAGAAATCACCAAAGCACTTGAAAAGCTTCTCTTCCCGAAGAGCAGGCTGAGTGTTGAGCTGGTGGAAGAGGCCAGACTGGACCTGAGCATTGCTGCAGCTCGGTCCTGCACAGTCAGCTGTCCAGCCACAGGGACAGCAGGGGACTGGGAAAACACAGATGTTGCCGAGTTGTGGAATGACAGCTGACTACTAGAAAGCCTTTGGGCAATTTCATGGGCTGATGTAGATGTCTGGATGAAAGGCTGCCGGCTTTCTGCCATTGGTCCAGAGTGGCTTGAAGCAGGTGGCATTTGGTTTAAAGCAGTGTGTGCCTGGATGGACTGACTCCTGGGTTTTCTCCTCCCTTTAAAAGAAAGATTAATACATTTAAGTAAGTGGCACCCCAATGAACTCTGTGCTATTGACAGTGTCCCATGTGTACATATTACTGTTGGCATATTACTACTGGTTTTATTAGCACAAAAATCCCAAGAAGAACAGAAATAACAAACTGCTAAACCTATAAACCTTTCTGTATTTTCCACTACAGGGGTTCTGGCTTTTGGTGAGAATAGCTCCAGGGGTTCTTTATTCAGTTAAAAGAGAGAAAAATGAGAAGATAACCTTAATCACAGACTCACACATATTCTGACACATACATTTTAAACTGCTGAGTGAATAGTGCCCAGAGCACAGTGTTGCTGTAACTCCGCTCCCCTTTGACAAGCACACTACAGTAGGGGATGTTGTATACCCACCTTAAACGGCTTGGTATAACTAAATGCAAAAATAACATCAAAAATCCATGAGTTAAAACTATAGCACATTAAAAAGAATGCATATGGGGAAAGAGAATTTAAGAATTCAACCAAGTGGCAGGCTAGAGCATTCAAGCCACAAGACAGTTTTTAAGATTAATATTAAACTATATCTGAGTTTCAAGAGTGATATTTACAGTTTATCACACACTGAAAAGATGTGAACACCTCTTGTGAGGGTAGTCTATTGGAGATCTGGGTTAGACCCACATATAAGGCTCTTGCCCCATTTTGTGAAGCATCTCTCTGCAGCCACTGTTGGATACAAAGAGTAGATAAGATAAGCTAGTCTGACAAGCCTAGAAAAATGCTATCTTCCTGTACATATACACCCCCATTTTTAACATTTATATCAGCAACTTATGTTACTCAAACAAATAATCTCTGTATTTCTTATGCTTGCATATTTAAATAGGCAAAGAATGAAAAATAAATCAACTTATTGGCCACTGAACCCACCAGATACCTGCCTGCACCCTGGTATCTGCAAATGGCTTGCAGCCACAGAGCCTGAAAAAGTTTACTGTTTCTGCAGATGGGCTCTAACCCAGGCTTACATAGCAAATACCCTGTCATGCAAGTGCACGCTTGGCTTTTTTGCTTTCCAGGAAACTCCAAACATTAACACAAGCTGGCATTTTGGTTTCCTAGCTATAGCTGTGGGGTAGAGAGTTGATGCCAGAAAATCTGTTGAGAGCCATCAACGCATAAACGAGTTTCGCTGGCAGGCGTTTCCAAGTTGTTGGCAATTATTTTTGCTTTGTTGACAGTACCTGAACTATGGAGAGGAGAGAAGCACTGAAACTCCTCCAGATATTGAAAATTTGCAGGCATGAAGGAATATAAATCTCATACTATCTTCTAGAAACATGACTGCTTGCTGAATTCATGAGGGTTTCAGTCATGCAGAATTTAAAACCCTATTTATATTATAGAGTTGAAACATGCTGTTATACATCCACAGACCTGCTTTCCCGAGGCCTGGTATCCTTAGTCCTGTTTTTCAGATGCTAAAGCAAAGAGACTTTAAGTTATTTGGCACCAAGTCAGATGGCAGAGCTGGGCCACAACCTAACAGGAGCTCTATAGCTGGACTAAAGCCTTGTTCCTTTGGCAAGTACTGGACACTTTTGCACCCCACTTACAATGTATCTTTAGTTCTACTTTTATATTCCAAGAAATAAAAAAGAAATTCCTAAGATGGCACGCGAAACGGCCTTCTCTCCAATAAGAGCCCCAAGATCTCTTGCTTGAGAGCGACGCATCAAGAGGCACATGGCTCCTGCGTGCCGCACTGCCAACATCCCCTGCACTTTGGACGTGACCCACAGGGAGCGCAGGCACTGCCGGGACACAACCGTGTGTGAGGTGCTCTGGGCAATCGTGCTTTAGCAGGGGGCTTGGACTAGATGATCTCTAGAGGTGCCTTCCAACCCTGATGTTTCTGTGAGGGGGGTCAGGCCTGGCTGCTGCGCTGGCAGCCAAACTCATGTCTGGCCTCTACCAGGGATTTAGGTTCTTCAGACTCCGGGGTTTTGTTTAAGCACTTTAGTTTCTACATTATTTTAATATGTTACCCTTTTTAAATACAAAGAATGGACCGGAATTAAGAACAGAGGGGCTGTGCATGGGCTAATGTGGCCAAACATCTGTTTGCGATTTAAACTGCCAAGCTGACCCCTGTCCAAAAGTATTCTATATTCATCCCAAATGCGGTGGTTAGAGCACTGGACAGGAGACCACCCGCATCTACACACAAATAACTCCGTCCTTGAAAACACTTAGGAAACAAAGACTGTTCTATAAACTGCATCACGAAATAAGGACACTTTGGGGGAGAACCCCACACGTTTCCAATGCTCCTGAGTTTGGTTGCACTTTTATAGAAAGCTTTCATTGCATTTCACAGACTCAGTGGCACCAGGCTGCAAAATGAAATATGAAATATGGAAACTTGATTTGCAGATTATGAGTCTAGAAGGGATTGCTGCGATCATCTAGTCTGCTGTGCTATATAGCACATGCCACAGAACTTCCTGGAATGAACTACTGTATGGTACTACTAATTACTATGACTATTTTTAAGACATGTAGCCAATATCTCTAGTCTTGGAGAATCCATCTTAACACTCGGTCACTTTTTTCACTGTTTACTTACTGTCTCTGTTAAAAATGTGCACCTGATTTAAAATCTGAATTTGTTCAGCTTTACTGTATCCAAGTCTGCTCAAATCAATTGTCTTTGGTCACCTTTTGTTGCCCAGGTAAGTAATTACAGACTATGATCAAAGCATGATATAAATTGTTTGAAAGCTCTTAATCTTTCACTACAGGATATATTTCCCAGATCTTTGATCATTTTCTTGGCTCTTCTTTGAGCTCCTTCCAAATTAGAAATGTCCTTCTTAAATTAGGGTACTAGGACTGCATGTGGTAGGCCAGCAGTGTCCTGAACCAAAGTCAGATGGACAGACATACACTACCCAAGTCACCCTTTTCATTCTGCTTTTTTAACAACAGGCACAGCATTAAGTGCCCTCCCAGTCCCCTGGTATTGCCTTAGCGTCCTGATATTTACTGAAGATAAAACAGAGTTTGCTTTTTAAGCAGCTCTCTTAAAAACCTTCTTGAGCAAGAGTCATTTGGATTTGTTCAATTAAACATAAAGATTTGATAGCTGCTCTTTCATGTTCTTTGCAGCTTCTAGGATGGAAGGAATTGCTTCGTGATCAGATAACAGGTCGTCTGCATTTTTCCCAATACAAACCAAATATTTCTTTTCTCATTTCTACATTATTGGCAACTCTATCTTTCTATATATTTGATGGATCAAGACCACTGTCAGCATTTCTTTTGCTTCTAATACTTAAAAAAAATAAATGGCCACAAACTCACTTCCATCTTTTTATCCCTAATGGTATTAGCCAGAAATTTGTCCATGTTTCATCCTCTTTCTCTTATCAGTAGTCTCTCAGGACTGAATACTGATTTGTATTTGCTATATTCCACTTCCTTGTATTTGTTGTGCATTTCTTCATGTTACCTTAAAGCCAGGTTGCTTTTCCTAACTGTGACCTTCTCTCTTGATTGTGGCTTTCCAGGCACCCAATACATTCTTTCAAACAACTCGTAATTAACTTCCATTCTTGTATGGCATGCTCAGGATCATTATTTTACAATGAAGCTTGCCATTCTGATTACTGCAGTGTCAAGTTATGAGTATGCACATGAGGATTCCTCTAACGCTAGACTCAATTAAAAGCAGCAGTTATTTTATTCTTACAACATGATTTATATTCAGGGCGAGATTTTCTCCAGTCCTGTCCAGTATCTTTAATTATAGGTCAAAATGATCTATGGGGAAATAAACAAGTGTCATACCCTTCTAGTCCTCTGCTTTTATACATAAATGCCACAACTTATTGAAAGATTGAGTTAATTGGCTTTGAAGGCCTGATCTCACAGTGATAGGTCTCCCTGTGACCCACTGCCAAACTTAACATATATTTCCCACTTGAAGGCAAGTATTTCTACCTTGTGAATAAGTCGGAAGTATTTTTTAATCTATAGTTTAATTTGAGAAGGGCTCAGCTGTTAGTTGACAGAATGACTGGCAACATTTAATTTTCTCCTGGTAACTGCTGTATAGATGTAATAAGTTATTTCCTATTCATTTCCCACATGCACTGATGAACAGCCAAACCAATCCCTCAAATAAATAGTCATGGTCCTTCCAAGACAATTAAAATTTCTGCATACTTTCACTTCTGCTCTTCCTAGCCAACAATAAACACAGGCTCACTGTGGTGTGGGCTCTCTGCATCACAAATATAGACCCCCAACAACATCAGGAAGCATGTCCTACACGTGCTTGGTCATAAGGAAAGACAAAGCTCTCCCTTTCTAAAATTAGTTCTCCACTGGACTTGAGCACATCCCAAAAGCATCTGCCTGTGTAGCCCCTCAGGTGAAGACTACAGAAAAAGCCAAGTAAGTTATGGAAATACCTGCACGCTGGTGGACCTCTTGAGATGAAGTTTGCAACTGTGGGGTTCCATCTCTGGTGGGCTGCGAGCTACTGCTCTGGCTTGAATTGCCTGTGGAATTGCTGCCAGACGAAGATCCCCCTCCACTATCCCCCTCTTCAGCGTTACCTCTCTCGTGGTGAGCTGCATGACAGTCCTTCCGCATTCTGTTTCCAGGAACACACACGTGGTTTGACAGTTATTATGGACAAAAATTTGTGCCACTAATGTAAGGTGCCCTAAAAATGTGTAACTGTACTCTCTCACATTGCTGCAGGTCTTTCAACGTTTTATGAGATGACAAAGATGATGACATGGTAAGCTTACTTGGAACAAAACTGTACAGGCCACAAACCAAACCTTTCCTTGTCCGTGTTAAGTGGTTTTGGAGCTCTGTAAGACCTCAGAACTCTTTATTTAGTGATACAATGGACTCTAAAAATCAGTTTTTGCACAAGGTAACCAAGTAGCAAAGACAAGGAATGGGAAGCTCAGTGAGAATGAGTTGAATGGTGGGAAACTAGCCTATTAAGCCACTAGACTTAATCTTGGCATTTTAGCATAGGTCTTAGCATGTAAACTGGCTCCCATGGTCCTCTGCCTCTCCTTAGCCACAGTGGCGATCGGCAGGTGAAAGGAATGAGATGAGAGTGAGTTATTGCTGTATGAAAAGTGCACCTATGAATGAGAGATGGAATGGGTTACATCCTGATCTAGGGGAAGTCTGGCAGTTCTGGTATATAGCAAGTACATTTGTAGGTGTGTTTTGGTCAAGAACAACAATTTGGGGATGACCATCCATACTGCCAAAAGCTTTGCGGCATGACCCACCATAGTTCTTCAAGGCATTTACTCATGTTCTAACATGTCACCGAACTACCCTTATGCACAAGGCATAAACAGTAACATTCCCTGGAATAAGGTATGAGTCTGTAGTGCTAAGTGATTTGATAATAAATCTTGTTAAACATGTAAAAAGTTTTGCTTACAAGCCATGAATGTGTTAATGAGTTTGCTTTCTGCTATACCTGTAGGGCTATTTTGTTATATTCCAAGTTATTTGCAATTAATTTTTTACTCACAGATAACAGTACAGAATTACTCTCTTTTAACAGAAAACACAGTGGAACTGAGATTGCAAGGTCTCTGCATAGCCAAAATTTAACACCTACCTTAACCATTTGGATCTGAACCACTTTTTAATGTTGTCCAAACTGACAGGTCCCCCCCAAATGTTCCTCAGTTGGCTGTGTGTCCCAAGGTACGAGGTGGTTAAAGGGGAAACATACATTGGATATCCCAGTGGCTGATCACATGAAGAATTAATTAAGTTCCGCAAGACTTGTTTATTGTTCTGGATGCTTCCTCTCTCTGGGTTACGATTGCGTAAGAAAATCAGTTCCTGCTGCTGCCCAGCCCAAAGCCCTCTGACACACTCCTTGTTGACCTACAGGTAGGTTAAAAACATGTGGATCACGTGAAAACGTTTGCTACTTCAGATGCAGAACTATGCGATCTAGGCAGAACAGCAGTAGCTGTGTGTGCAAGCACCTCACGTCTTTGCACCAACAGGTTTTGTGAACTTTTGGAGCTACTCCCTGGTAAAGCCTGGAATCTTATTTCAGATACACAAATGTATGGGTGCAAAATGGAAGCCAACTGAAGAGAGCTCTTTTAGTCCTCAATCCCTACTCCAATAACTACAATCAACCTCTTCATGGGCCAGATTACCTCAAAATAATATTAGTTACCACAATCCTAAACTACTGCAATACTAGAAAGATGTTGTATGTACCTTGATAACCTTGAAGCTCAAGTAGCTTTTGTGGAGCATGATAACTTTGTATTCGTCTGCTCCTTCATCTACCACATGTCTCAGGGTTAGCAGCTCCTCTCTGTTGGAGAGTACAGCGCTGCGCCAGGCTGGGTCCCCTTCGTGACAAATCACAACCTTTTCCTCAAAAGATTGGATCGCTTCATACAAAACTGCTGGGTCCTCATATTCGTCTGGACAAGTAAACTGGTCCTGGCAGGACACAAGAAAGTATTGAGAAGGTCAGGTGTATCTGTGAAAACACAAAAACTATTACAATAAACAAAATTGTGTTTTTCGAACAGTTGCCAGCTGACCCCCCCAAGTGAATTGCCATTTGATACATACTACTTTGGGGAGGTAGAACAATTAATTTAACCGTAATATAAAAAGGTACAATTTTTGTTTTATTATAACCTGTTTTCATCTCTTGTCTCCACTGGACAAAGACACCTGTAGAATGCCAGCTTATCCACTTTCGTTTTATGAAGTGGGAAACCACGGGAATCAGAGCTTTTGGGTAAGCCAGAGGGAGATTGGAATCACCTGGGGTGTTCCACAGTTCTTGTGGAAACCCTGAGTTTTATTCACAAAAACACCAACAAAAGCACAGACCGGGAATCCATCAGCGGATATCACAGTGTTGTGTTACTACCTGAGCTGTCATGCAGAAACACAGGCAGTGATAACATTCATAAAGCTATTGTGTCAGATTCTCAGATATTAATTCACAGCAGTTCCACTTTGGTTACATTCAGAGCAATTACAAATATCATGCGTGATAAATGCATACGATGCTAAATCATAATGTGCCAGAGGAAGAACAGAATCAACTCCAAGCTATACAGGGGTTGACCTGAAGAAACTGGAGAAAGTTCAATGGAGGCGAGCCAGATTTTTACAACTGAAGAGAAAACAGAGTCAGAAACAGCCCAACATAATCAAATAAACAGCCGTGACACTAACTCTTCAAACCACTCTCCTCCCAGCTGTGTCTTTTAACATATGGAAGCACTACATGTGTACTGCCATTCACAAAAGGACTGGCAAATTAGCAATGAAATTAGTCTAATCAATGTATTTCTTTTCAATCTAGAAACCATCTTTATAGTATCCACGTGAGTAAAACATGACATGACTGTCAGTTTTGTTTTGATGAAAAATGCAGGGTCAAGTTCTGCAATATGAATGGTTTTAAACGAGGAGCTAGGGGCTACAGAAAAGAAGATCAAGTGAATGCAAAATAAATAAATGCCAAGCTTTTCTATTCTGGTTAAAGAAGTTTCTCAGAATAAGACAACAAGTATTCAGTTTCCATCTCTTTTTTTAAAAAAAAAAAGAAATTGGACAGTTTCTAAAGTTTTCTTTCTAAGAAAATACGCAGTAATAGAAGTTCAAAATAAAAATTAAAAAAAAGATCCTACCTGGTGTAGCTTTAGAGACATTCGGATTGCCGGGGCAAGAACCTTATGCAATAAATCCATGTCTGCAAAGACCCACTCATCTTTTGCTGCTATGCGGAAGTCTCCTTTGAACAGTGCATGGAGCCCATAGAGGAAAGAGTCCAGGCTGCAAGAGAAAGGGAGCAGTCACTCCCAGAACTCATTCCCGTCTCACCAAGCCAGAGCCCTGACAGTTACCGGCCACGCACAGAGCTTCACAGTGACCAGTGACCCGCTGGCACAGGGTGAGCTCCTGCTGCGGGTGTGAAGCAGGGGTCACATCGTGTGTTCCTGATGAGAATCCTTTCCTCAAGGTGGGTGGTTTTCCTTCTGCTTGCAGGGTAAACGCGTCACCACAAAGGATGTCCTAAGGACGGGTAGCTGGGTCACGGGGTGCCTCAGGGGGCTGCTTCCAAAAGTCCAGGTCAAAGAGTGACGCTGCTCTGCAATCCCCATGCAGGCAGCAGAAGTTTGTCAAATGGGAACTCATCTGAAAGTTTATTGATTGGCCCTATTACTCTTAGCAGTTTTCCTTGCAGGGTAATTTCTTTTTTTTTTTTAAAAAAAAAAAGCTGTAAAAAGTATTTTCCAATCTGAGACTTTTGTCATGAAACTCAAATCCACTGTGAACATTAAACCAGATGAACTAAGAAGAATATTAAGTTGCAGGAACTGTTCAGCAAAGAAGGTGAGAACAACTAGCATTTCATACTGAAAAAATGAGCCCTAAAGCAAATATGCACTGGGTTTCTTTTTTCTAATATAAGAAAATAGATGTAACCACTTCCGGCTGACCTTGGATGACAGCTTGCCTGGACCTGAGATTTAAGTTAGAGGCAAAAGGTACAAACTTACGTAGTTGTTAGAAAATGGTAGCATGAGTGGAAAAAAAAGAGGGGAAACAACCAGTGCTCAACTCCAGCTCACACCTCAAATCACAAATTTCCCATGACACCACAAGCACTGGTATAATGCTTATACAGCAGGAGTGCTGTCCTGAAGAAGTGATCTCAAAATTGAGGAACACAGAACCATCTGTTAAAAACAGGCATCTCTTGCAAACACACAGGACATGGTTTCATCTACCTGCCAAGTTTTTACTCACTCTTACAACAGTTGATTTTTTAGATTGTAAAGGCTCTGAGGAGAAGCTTCATTAAGATGCTAGTGGTTTTCATTACTGCCCAGGCTTTCTCCAGAGAACGCCTAATCTTTCCACATAATAGAGCTTTCTTAACTACTTTAAGAGGAAAAAAAAAAAAAGTCCTTAATTTTTTTTCATTTCTCCAAGAGAGGAGGAAGAGAGACTGGGAGACTGCTTGACCTATCTTCAGTTCAGATACAGTCTAATTTTGCCCTTTGGTGGGTGGCATGTTTTAGAAATTAAAATGGAAAGGCATAGATGTTACCAGGAAAACGGCCATGCAATACAAATCAACTACCACTAGGACCAAGGCCAGTCAGGAAGGCGAGGCTGCTGTTGCTGCTGGGAACATGAAAAGCACAGGGAAGCTCTTCTGAATGCTTATCTTATTTGCATTTATTAGTACTAATTATGTATTAAAACATGCCTACGTGAGACAGGCATCATGCACTGATTTCAATGGGAGTTATTACATGTCTTCAAGGAGCGGGTCCTGATCCCCACTGACTTTCAATCAATCATCTCCACGGTTTATAAAATCATAATATACCCAAATCCTGCTCAACATCTAGGAAAGCCCTCGAATAAACCAGCTGGAGAAAAAAGAGAGTGGGTACAGCCAGCATGGTGAAATGTGACTATCATCTCGTTTGAAAAGGCTGGAAACCAGGAAGGGTCCTTTCACCTGCCCACCCACTAGACAATGTCCAGCACACACAGCTGAATCCCTGCCTGGAAAAAAACACTTCTGCGTCTAAATAGTCCTCCCAGAATGAAACTGAAAAAACTACCTTGAACTCTGCACCTAGTGATAAGCTGTAGAATAGTTTTTTCCCACATAATACACCCTATATTTGCTCTGAAAAGTTGTCTGGGATGAAGGGAGATGTAGGCAGGAGAGAGAACTGGTTTTTACATCATTGGAGGCTCTCAGAGCCAAATCTGAACACCAGACAAAGAGTCTGCGTTCACATCCAAGCATCTTACAGGCATCAGCACATGCTAAACAGGCTGCTGTGCACAGCGGTATCTGCTGAAAGCAAGGCGAGGACTAGGACAGCTCTGCAAACTGCAGCTGAGCATCAGCAGAGGGGAGCGCGTACAGCTCTCGCTGTGCTTAGTTAGGGAAGACTCATCCATTTCCCACCCCTCTCCATAATAAGTTCTCTAACCAGCATTTTTAAGAACAAATATGACTGCTGCAAGGAACAAAGCAGCAGTGGCAGTAGTTGTGAGAGGCTGAGAGTCAATTATTTTATATATTGTATTTTCCACTGGAGAGGTCTGGAGGAGATTGCTGTATTCACAAAACCATGGACATCTTTTATTCTCTTGCCAATCATAATGAGGCTTTTGGGTATGTTCTGCCTATAATGTGACACTATCTCAAGCCATTACTTCTGTAACATGAAGCCCTTAATCCACATAAGATACAGCTGTTGTTATTCTTCCTATTGTTATCTTCTCTCCTGAAGACTCTAATGAGATTAGAAGGAAACTGTAAAACCAACAGCTTTGATCTCAGGCCTCACTCAAAGTTGTTGCTGCTTTCTTGGCCCAGCTTTAAAAACACCTTGTTTAGCAATCTGCTGTAGTTACAGGCTTGTTCAAAATATTTTAAAAACTAGCTAAGGTAAATTCACATGCCAAAGAAATGACGTTTATCACAAGCGTAACTACTACTTCTACCAACATTTCTAACCCCCTTGAGCTAAGAACCTGAAAAGCTGCTGTCGTACCTTCAAGCTATTTTAGAACAAGACTAGTAGGTGTGTGGGAACCGTCGGCCCCTCAAACGTGCAGAAAGGAGAAGATTAAGTAGCACCACAAATACCAGAGGGAGGGCAACAGAGCTAGAGGAAATAATCCCTCCTACTGCACTCCTGACATTGTTCCAGCAGCTGAAACTAAAAGCATCTGATGTGAGCCTGAAAACAGTATGGCTGAAGAATAACGAGCTGGTGAATATACCTGCACATATTTTGCACACCAAACCCCATCCTCTGCCTGCAGTTTATAGACCTTTCCCCATGTTAACTGTGGATTTATTTAAGAAATAAAGAAACATGCATGCCTGTGATCTGGTAATGACCTGAGCGTTCTAAGTTACCCAAAAGAAATATTTTCAGTAGTAGCCATTCTTAATTTGATATTTTAGATTACATTGGTTGTGAAGTGTCAAACTTTTCTCCTCCACTTCTGCTCTGATCAGCACCGGCAAAGGGAAAGCCACGCTGTCTGCCTGAACTCCACGTAGCAACACAGCATCACCGGCAGCGCTGTGGCACCGTGTCCCGTGTCCTCCTGCCTCTTTCCCCTCAGCTGCTGGGCAATGCTATGTGGTGCCCGGGAGGTTAGGGGTAGGTGGAGCCAGCTGCTCCCCTGGGCTTCAGCGTGAGCAGCAGTTCCTCCAGGCAGAACCATTCCTCGGAGTGACCCCCTGTCCATGCTGAGAGATAATACCCAGAGGGAGCTCAGGGGACCTGAGCATCCATGCTTGGTACCGTTGGAAGTATCTGGTGAGAGATGTTTTATTCAAAGATTTTTATATTTTTCCAAATTCTACATGTATACTAAACATTTATTTACTAGCAGGTCTAGTGGCTGAATATGATTATTAAGTAATTTTTTTTTACAAATGCACACCAAAATCACTTATATTTGAATAAATGAATGGTAATGTCATGTTGTTCTTCAAATTTCATTTTGTGCAGGATGCCTCTAATGACAGTTTAAAAGAGCAAGTGATTTGCATAGTAATGCTCTGCCTTCTTAATGAATGCATTTATTGTGTAATCTAGTGTTAATGTTGGGTTTCTACTGACATTTACATGAACAGGTACACTGAATAATTATTTACATACATTATATAAGAGATTTTAAAATCTTGGTTTACACAGTGACATTTACTGATTAATAGATTAGACAAAATCATGTGTAAATGAGTGCAAATTGGTAGTTTACATACACAGAGTAAACTTGAATCTCAGTTCTGTAGTGCACAGCTCAGTGTGACATTACCTTTGCCTTACTATTCCTGTGCAGCCGTTGGGTGACTGTCACCCCTCACAACACAGCAAGGGCTAGACTTAGGCCAGAGGAAGTTTCCCACTACCTGTGCAGTTACCACAGAGAACAAATCACGAGTCCTTCTCTTCAGGGCTACTTTCAACCCACTCTGTGCCCAGTTTGTATTTGTGCCTGGGATTAGCCCGGCCCAGGTGCAGGACCTTGCACTTTGACTTGTTGAAGCTCATGCAGTTTGCACTGGCCCATTTTTCAAGCCTGTCAAGGTCCCTCTGGATGGCATCTCTTCCCTCAAGTGAGTCCAAGGCGTCACACCGCTTGGTGGAATTGGCAAACTTGCTGAGGGTGCACTTGATGCCGCTGTCCACATCACCGACAAATGCTGAACATGTCCCTGCTCACATGTCCCTTCCAACCCACACATTCTGTGATTCCATGCAGCACATCCTCCTTGCGCACACAGCTGGCTGTGGGGTTGCCTGAACTGACACCATCTCTGCAGAAAACTAAAAACCTCTTCAGCGGCAATAGGCTCCAAAAGGTCCCCAAAATATCCCAGCATCTTTTCAAGGAAAAGGACTCTGACACATCACCTAAGGAACAATTTCTCCAGATTCAGAGGACCTTAAGTACTTTGACCCCATCTGACTGAAAGCAGACCAGCACCAACCTGAGAACTGGGGGTGAGGACCAGTGACCAAGTTCTAAATGACCTTCCGAAGGGGTTATTTACTGTGTAAATCAGTTTACTGTGTAAATCAGTAAACACAGTAAGTAGGTAAAGAACTGCCCACTGTGCTGAAGCAAATACATGTGGGGGATTTTTGCTGATGAAGGTCTTGATGTCTGGGAGTAGCGTACCCACCTTGCTCCTTAGTTAATAATTTCTACTAAATTGCTTTTGTCAATTAAAATAAAAATACAAATTCTTTAAAACAAGAATAAGCACATTTCACCAAGTCATGTTTCGCAGCTGTAGCAACTGATAACTTGAATTGTGCTACTCGGATTCCCTTTTCCCCCAAATCATTCTAACAGTTGAAACGCAGTAAAGGTAATTTAACCAGGTGGGTAAGTGACAAAGTTTTTTCAACAGCGAAACTTTTCTATGGAAGCTTTTGTGAAGCACCACTGAAAAAGATACTGACAGAAGCTTCCAGTTAATCCCTTTTATGTCACAAAGTACATTTTAAAAATACAATGATTCGATACTGCCCTGAAGCACATGCTTAATAAAAAAGAAAACTAGGACTTAATTGAACATACAGGGATAGTGCTGTGTACTGCATATGACTGTGATATTTTTGGCTTTCTACAGATCTTTTTCCCCAAGAAAAGTATTTTTAAGTATGGAATGTCCACTCACCAAAAGAGAGGAACTAATTTGGTTCATTGATAAATTTCCAGATTATAAAAGGACATTGTATAGCTGACTCCTGCAATTATTATTAAAATGTTTACAGAAGACTTTGCAAATAATTATCCTTAACCTTGATACTTTCCATGTAAAGCTTTAGAAAGTCTCTGATAATATTATTTCTTCGCATTAGCTACCAACAATGTGAGCCAATACAAATAGGTGACATTGCTATTGCATCTGCACTTCTGCCAAAACATTTTAATGAAGATTTTAAGATCCAGTGGAAAGTACATGCAAGTTGATGACAGTTTTAGGAAGCTTTTGTGGTATTTTTAGATGAATTTCTAACATTGCTGTGACATACCTTTTGCAGACCCAGATCAAAATGACTTTAATCTTTTCTCAAAAAAAAATAATCAGAAATTCACATCAACTTCTCTATCACGTCCCCGAACTCTAAAATTTAGATCATCAAAAAAACAGGGTAATTTTAAAAATATCAGTGACTAACTAAACATCACACTAATTTGAGTGCACAGAAATGAAGGGAGGGGAAACTCAACTGAGAAGTAAGCTACTACAGGAAGTGAATGTGCAAAGACGCGTAGAAAAGAGACGACAAAAGTCACTTTAGAAAGCAGAAAAAAGCAGCCATGTGGGCTACAAACATTTTGTGTGACTGACTGGAAGAGGAAGACATAAACCCAAACATTACAAACATCTCTGCAGATAATAAAGCTAGAATGAATATTTAAAAGGATTGTTTTATCTCATAACACAAAAAGCATTCAAAATAACACATGCTGCCTTTGTTTGCTTGTTAGTAAGACAAATCCTCTAAGGAGCATGTTGATAGAGGGCTAGTTAACTTCGCTCACTGTTTTGTACAATACAGCAAGGTCATTCAGAAATTCTATTTACTCAATTTATCTACTGTTATTAACACAGTCAGTTCAAATACATCTGATAAAAATGTAAAATTAGGTGAGAAATTAGATTTTATTAAAATAAAGATTATTTCCTTAATAAAATGCCTTATCTGTAACAGAATGTAAACAGTACTTTATAAAACCCAGGCAACTCAGAACTCCTAGTGAATATGAAAGAATCCCTCCTAAAAATTTAAGGTGAAGAGCATGTTCATAAACAATCTTAACCAGGCATATTTTATTTAACAAGATTTTCTAGAAGTGTTTTGAATGAAAGAGTGAATAAATGAATAAGGGAGACAGAGAATCGAGAAAGCTGTGTTCTCAAGAGACATGAAGTTCTCCCTCAGGTGCCAAAATCAAGAGGCACAACGAATAAGAATACAGCCCTGAGGAAACATAGCACCCTTATGGACTTATTATTTAGCTAACTAGATGTTGGGTGACTTTGCAGTTTCTTCCTCTTCTGGAGGAAGCCAGCATTCCGGTAGTCAGACCAGGGATGAGCGAACACAAGCAATAACCCATTCCTTCAATGCCAAATTCTGCTTTGCCCCATGAAACAAAGATGGATATTAGTTACTTAGCCAACCACCAAAGTAAAAGATGTCTGGGAATGGCAGGAAATAGATTATTTTATGGAGGAAAGAGGCTTCACCTTGATCTAATCTTCTGTTGAGATTTCACATCAAGTGGAAAAAGACAAACAGGTCTTTGCTTTAAGGTGAAGAAAAAGGATTCCTAAAAATTACCTGATGGCCATATTGTGAGCTGCAGTTCCCAGAGCTCTTCGACCCAATATACACAAGGCGAAGGAAAGTGTCACTAGAGGAGAATCCTCATCACTATCCAGGTGCTACAAAGTTTTAAGAATAGCATGTTATTCTAAATGCAAATACCATCTTTAAAAGCACAGCAATACCATCAGTGGTACCATTCATAACATGTGCATGTAGCTGGACCTACACACAAAAACATTTTTTGCAATTAAACAGAACAAGAAGGAAGATCAGAGGCTTTCCGCAAAATGTGAGTTTATTCTTTCCACTGGCTAGAAGCAGCACATTTCAGTCTCAGGTTGTGAGACCCCAAGGGAGGGTAGCTTTGGTAGTGGTGGATTTTTTTTAATAGGGTTTGGGGGTTTTGTTTGTTTCCTTTTGCTTTGTTTTTTTTTCTTTCAGATCTGCCATTCAGATTCCTTATTGCTGAGAGACACTGCAACTGGAGGCGGCCAAAACCCTTCTCATGTGTCTACGAAATCCCACCACAGATTCCAGAAGAACAATCTATTTGGAGGAACACAATTTTAGTGAATAACGATATATATATATATATTTAAATTCTATAGTATTGATGGCACTGACTTCACATTTTAAAAAGCAGTCAAAACATTTCATTTACCTCTAGTAGCTCAGGAGAGTTTCTTCACTGAATTTTTTTTAAAAAAAAAATTGCTATCAAACAAGATGAAAAAATTCAAACAATCCCTAACGAATGTGAATCTTTAGGAGGATACAGATTATTAGTTCAGCCCACGCAATGAGTGATTTCTTATAGCTTTCTTTGTTTCTAAAACTGAAGCTATTATAATGGAGAATGTGGCTTCTTCTGTAAAATATATTGATTTTCAGGGCTAGGTGTACAGTGAAGCTTTCTTTACAACTCAGCTCCAAGATGAACTTTAGCTGTATATCATCAGTGAATTATAAAACAAAAGTAAAATACAAAGATGTAAAGTGTATATAAATATGTATGTGTGCACACTAGTGCCAGCATTCGTTTGCCCTTTTAAGTCTGATAAATTTCAAGTCTATTGGGCATCTCTAGTATTCTGCTTGAAAGTCTCAGCCACATAACAAGTGGAAAAGCAATACTTAACAGTGGCTTTCCCTGCACCATGCAATTTTTTTTTGCGTCAGAACTTGGGAGTTGAGTTATGGACATGGGAAAGAAAAAAGATGACAAATTCCCAGTAGGAGAAGATGGTGGGGAAGGCTCAGGGAACAATTCAGTGAGGACAGTATCAATGTAATGACACGCAGAGGAACGGGTGGAAGGATATTCGGGGTCAGAGACATGAGAAGGCACTGAAGTGAAGAAGAAACGTTAAGATTCAGTGATGTTGCGCCAGCTAAGGTCAGTGGCAGCAAATTGGATGGGCACTCGGTGATCCTGAATGAAAAATGCACGTATACCAGCACATAGTGGCCAGGTAAGATGCACTTTTCATTTTTTGCCATTATCAGCAATAGTCAGAAAATTAAATTGAGGGAAAGTGCTTGTTTGAAATTCTATTCTCCCTCTGGGCTCTTTTGAGTATTCCACGGAAATACAGTAGCATATTTCGACAAATAATTGCAGACCATTAGTAATCTTAGTGGCTCAAAGCATGTGAATGTGTAGGCATAAAACCTCTCTTGAACTTCTAGAGCTGCAAAGTGATTGCACATGGGTTTGTGGAACAGTTCACATTTGAATTATGAGCCCTCAAAGGTGACCTACACTAGGACCGAGTCTGGTACACACATCCCCACCACTTGAAGAGTGTACCCAAATATAGGCAAATTTTTGGAAAGGACACACAAACATCACAAACGTTTGGCAAATGTACCCAAACACTGGCAACACTGAAGGAACAGCAACATTTTGATGCCATTCCCTGAATGGAGCCTGCTCTAGCAGTGCTTCCGTGAGCATTTGCTATATACATGCTTTCTAGAACTGATGAAATAATGGTGTTGGAAGTTTGCACAATAAGAAATTGCTTCTGTATTCAAAGACTTATGCTCTTTAAAACTCTAGCTTTTGCATCAGGCTGGTCTCCAAAACACGTTTCCCATTCTGCAAGACATATATTTCACTTTTATGTTACATCTGACAGCTTAAATGAAATAAATGTTATTGTATTAGTCCCAAGAAAGCAAGAGAGTAACCATGCATCATTTAACTTCTACACCAAGAATTAAACTACTACTACTAAAAAAAAAATAAATACAAGCTTACCTCCACTCTTTTTCTAGCACAGAACTGAATCCAGTCCAGATAAACACTGCAGAAGCTAGCTCTTGTTATTCCTTGGAGACAGGGAACATAATCTTCATCTATGTTAATGTTAAACATTGCAAGGTCACGTTCAATATAATGCCATTTTGCATATGGCTGCAGTATCTTTTGGATGGATTCATCTTTTATCCAGTCAAGGATTTTGGGAGAACTTGCTGTAAAGTATATTATACTCTGTTGACAAAATGTGCAAATGTTAGTCACTCTATCTCTCATTAAAGCAGATTGATTTATTCTCATAAACTACCCAAAATGGTATATATTTTTAATATTTTTTACTGCTTGGCACCATTGCTTCACAAAATGTTCAAGTTAGAAAGATGATAGCTGATATCTAAATAGCAGGCAGCAGATAAAGAAGTCATATTTTTAGTGCCTTTCTGTCTTACAGGAAAATTAATTCAAACAATAGACTATGATAAGAATTTAGAGTTCAGCATTCAAATGCCTGCAGAAATCTTAGATTATTAAAATATTATCTAAGTTTCCAAGTTTAAGTTCTTCTAACTGATGTGTCTGGAGCCATTAAAATAATAATAATAATAATAAACAAAATAATAAAAAAATATCTATCCAAACCAAATTTAAAGCACATTTTCAAAAGAATGTGAAACTTAAGGGGAAGTTCTAGTGCTTCAAGGGAAAGTGGCATCAGCTGGAAAGCCCTATGTTTTACAATTATAATTTTTGTTTTAATAAAAGATACTAATTTGGAATTGGATTGCAAAGCAAATGAGGGGCAAGTGAACATGACTAAAGATGATTTAGTTTTACTTTACTCATGTAATGGAAATATTATTAAGCAAATAAATGTATAAAATGAAAACATGATGGATTAAAAAGGACAGAAGCACTATCAACCCTTTTAAAAATCCTAGATGCCCTCCACAGTTTATCTTTCAAATTGTACAAAAATATACAGGCAAGAGGAGAACTAAGCTCCAGAGGAAGAAGACAATTCAGACAGATACAGACTGAGGATGGACCCTTAATTTCTTGGCATGTGGAGAATAATACACTGTTTTAAAAAGATTCATGCAGAAACAATAGGAGCTGAAAGAACAGCACTCAGCAAATGCAGACTTCTTGAATACCAAAAGTCGTTTAAATAGGAATATATTGAGATGAGATGGAGAAGGCACAAGGGAAAAATATCACAGTAGTTGGGCAGGAAATGATTTCAAAATATATGCAGAAGGACTACAGGAGCTGACCCATTTTATTTGTGGAGAATAATCCTTTTATAAGAAGAAACACGGGCCTTTCTAGGCTGTCAATGAAACTGCAAATGAAATAAATACGATAGGAAGAAGACGCTCAGTGCAATTCGTTGTTTAAAACACCAATATGGTAATTATTCCTGAAGGATAGGAGAACGGAAACCAAGCATACATCTTCTTCGCTGATCTTCAAGAGAGAGTTTGCTTTTTTTATTATTCTCGCTTGTGTTTACAAAGAAGCAGGGGAAAAAAAAAAAATCGGACTCCCAATCATATATAGAAGCAGCAAAAACTTCTGCCATCTAATTAAATTCTGCTCTTAGTAGCTCTTCCTAGATATGTTTCGTGCACAAGTGCACCCTCAGCTATATGGCAATTCAGAAATAATATGGTAAATATTTAAAGTATTGTAAGCTACAAAGAATAAACCAGAAAGTAAATGCTTAGTGCAATGGAAGTGCGGTTGCTGATGGAAACTCCATCCTAAGTCCTTTCTGAATTTGTGATTTATGTGACCCAAATACTGCATTAACCAGAGCTGTTCTTACAATTAATTTCCTCCACCGTTAGAAAGAAAGTGTCAGGGCTTTAAAACGTTCACAGCAAAATTGCACAGAGTCTTTACAGCTCAAAATTCCCCCATAAGAAAGAGTTGGCAAAGGAATGAATTCTCACTTCTGTTTCTGATATTGTTTATCTGGAGATAAGCACTAACTAAACAGGATGGAAGATGATCAGATGCATAATATAATCACATAATATAATCTTCTCACTTCTGAGGCTGTACTAAGGATTTTACCAAATCTTATCAAAGCTCCCATTCCTAGCAGAAACTAATAACTTAAAGAATAGGAGAAGAAAATCTCCATATAGCTTTCTTTTGGGAAGTGTCATTCTACAGGAGAGATCTCCTGCGCATGTTCTCCCTTTGCCGAAGAGAACCCCGGCCCAGGCTAATATCGAAGCTTCCAACAGGTTGTTGTTACCTTCTCTTCATCCTTCCCTAAGAAGAGAAGTACATTAAAGAACTGATGCCTTTCGGAGAATGGAGATCTGCCAATGCAGTTTTACAGTACTGACTCAACTAAATCCAGCCAAAAGAGATTCAATTTTCACTCCTTCAAAGCCAGAGGTGGTGGACATAACAAAATCTGCATACAGCGGAGACGGAGCCACAGTGTACCTCAGTAGCGTGGAGATTCTTTAACCCACTTCCCTTTTACTCAAAACAGGATCACATAACCACACCTGTGTCATAAGGGACAGAAGTTTGTCTAAGCGATTTTTACCTATGCCAGCTGCTTCTTGGGTACATCCAGAACCAGAAGCCCTAAACTACTTCTCGATTAAATTTTCTTTCCCATGTGATGAACCTCACACTTTCCACAAGTCCTCTACACATTACTTAACTTAAACGCACTAAAAAAGTTCCAGTTTACAAAGCACAGTTCTTCACTGCTTCAAATTAATGAGATGTTGGTTTGATTTCAGCTTAGACTGGAATTTTTTTCAGTCTTGTTCACCATCAAAATCTGAGTCATTACAGCTTGCACCAGTTTATGTTCAGGTTATTCACGTTACCTTTTAAAGTAAAGCAAAACAATTGTAGCAACACATTCATCACAGTTTAAAGAAGGGTGATTTTCTAGTTAGGTATATTGCTTAAAATTAATTTGTAGCCACAAAACCCACTTCTAAAATGAAAACAATCACGCTCACATGCAGTTTTATTTCTAATTAGTTAATGAAACAAAGCAGCGTGGTTACCAGGCCCTACTACCTGTAAAATTATATATGAAGTCCCAGTCTGTATTTTACAGAGTAATCGACTGCATGATCAAAGGCAGGTTTGTGAGACAATGATCTTCTTTTTACTGCATTGTCTCACCTAATCACTTTTGTTTTTAAAGTTATTTACAGCAGGTCTCTAAGGGTGACAGGATTTTTTACAATTGCAAGGATGTAAGTAGGAAGGAGATGTCAGAGATGGTTTGGAGCTTTAGTGACTGGCTTCGTGGCAGTACTAGGTGCACAGGAGGCAGCATTTGGCTGTTCTCGTTTCCGTAGAAGACAATAAAGCTCAGCAATTTCTTCATTTGTTAGACTATGAGGTTCTATTATTTTGACAAATTAATATCTGTATTGTGATCTTAACAACTGTTCAAATACAGAAGTGACATAAATGAATTGCTGTTTAATCTGTGGAATAAACCAACTTCAAATACGTTGTGGCATATATGTAAAACAGCAGGTAAGAAGGGAGACCGCACTACTGAAAAGGTACATTTGAGAAAGAGCTCTTCAGAGATTACCCAAGAACTTTATGCTTGCTGATATTTTTAATTTTTTTCTTTCCAGAAAAAAAAAGCGAAAGGCCAAATTAAGAAGAAATAACAAACTGTCAGTGAAGTTTTGCTTTGTAAGAATGCTTTCTATGATTTTATCACTAAAGAATGTTAACTCACCTTCTTGATTTCTGCTTAAGCATGCCTGTGATTTTTTGTACTAACTCTATGTGGTGAGAATCAAATGTAGCAAAGGGAGATATGAATTAATTATCCCTACAAAACACCAAGTCAGTCTGACTGCTAGTAGTGCAGACGAATAAACACAAATCCAGAAAACGTTCAAATGCTCTTTCTTCTATAGACAGCCAGCATTCTTCCTATCTGACAAACTTGCCTAGGAATACAGTGCACTTTACCAAAGAGTTTACCTTTATATAGTATCTGATAAGTATTCTCCGCAGATCAAACACTTGCAGCATTGTTGCAGCGTTGTTATCAATGATACTATATCCTTCCAGGATGTACTGGGTTCGTGTTATTTCCCATGTCAGCCATCGGAGGTTAAAGGCTGCATTACATGATAACAAGTGAGGCAAGTGTCCAGGCTTACAGCAGCAGCAGCCTTCGTTGTCTTCATCTCCTTCTGTTATAGCTTCCACTTCTCTCTGCTGGCAATATGTCCCTTGGCAGTGAGAAAAAGAGAGGATGCTGCCAGTTATTGGGGGCTGGGGGGGGAAGGAAACAAAGGACTTCTTCCAAGCTGAAAGATCATGATTGAAGGCTTTACGCACTTAGAAAAAATCTAACAGAGCTACGGCAAGAAATTAGAAGTGCCAAGTGACCCCCACACAATAGCAAATAAAGAGCTGTATATTATTTATTTGCTGTCACCTATAAATGTCAAAATGGCCTGATCTAATGTTCTAGGTGTTTGGTTCTGAGCTAAGCTTGACTACTGATCACAGCTTCTGCCTTAATAAAAACTCTCCAGGAAGTAACAGTAAAGAGTCTTGCTCCACCAGGCACATGAAGCAAATTGGTCCAAGTCTCAGTCTGCTTCTTCAAATAATATACAGGATGCAAACAAAGATTTTACAGTGTGTCAGAGCACTTGTAAACTCTGGGTTTTAGCAAACTATCTTGGAAAGCAGGTTCCAAAAATAACATCCACTGGGCTGTTCTCTCTCCCACTGGCGTAAAAGCTACTCTGGATCAAACATCTCTAATGAATAGCCCTAGTGGCAGTATATTTTGAGACAGAATAGCTTTCTAATTAGCCTCCTACATAGGATTTAGATCAAAATAGAGCAAATCTTCCTGAAAAAAGAGATGTTAACTCATAAAGAAGTCATGAGTAAATGCAGAAACGATAATACAGCTGCTCTGCAGACTCTGCATTTCTAGCCTGTGCCATGCACACTAAATGGTCAAACTGAGCTTTCAGGATTTGAAATCTATGAATGTGCTTTCTACAGCACGTAGGGCACTACAAATCTAAACCAAAGTGGATTCCCATGCGCTCCCCTCCTTGTTCTCAAAATACACGAGTCCTATGTTTTTGATGTATGGATCTTCTCAAAATGTACTCTCTATGGGCTGTTGCAGAACTCTCCACTGAATTTGTACATAAACCATCATTCAAGGCCATCCCCTACGATGCAAGATACACGTCTCACATGGGTCTTTTGCCAATGGTTCGGCATCACCCCACAAGAGAGCTGGCTCCGTCAGCTTCCAAACAGTCTCGGCAGGAGAGGAAGGTGCTAGACACTGCGCTGCAGATCAACAGATACCAACTCCCCCTGCCAGGACCAACAGATCTGTTCTGTTGTGACACTGCAAGTGGGAGAAGAATTTGGCCACATTCATCATCTGAACATTGGACCAGGAAGGAATATAGTGTCAGCTCCAATCCCCCACAGTATGCCAGCACCCCAAAATAGAGCCTGGAGCAAGGCAGCATTTCAAAGGCCCTTCTGTGGAGCGTCATGACAGTTGCTGTGCCCTCAACTCTCTATCCCGGTACCATCACAACTGTCCAGTCAACAACCTGTGCACTTTAGCTTGTACCAACAGAGGTAACACCCAGAATATTCCTTTATCTGCACTAAGAAAAGCCTTTCAAAACATAACAAAATACATTGAAATATTGGTTCCCACCTTCTTTTTTTGGCTTGTACACTTTGTAAAACGTATTCAACAAGCAAAATATACAAGAAAAAGGAATAGAAATATGTGAAGGAAATGTGTGAGAAAAAGTAGTTGTAAGAGATAGAGGAGGGGAAAGATCCAGTCTATTCCAGTGCTCTCCATTCAGTTTTCTGTGAATGAAAATTACACTGTGTATCCAGCGTTGTTCACACACTGATCCATATTCCTCTTTGGACTTCAGGGATATACAACACGACAAATTATTAAATGTCTTCAAGTCACCCAAATATGATCATCTTTCTTTTCAATGCCGCCACAAAGTACAAAACATGACCTATCAGGCTGACATTTCCAGTTGGACTGGACATGAACTACACTGCTTCTGGTTCATATTTCACAGACTTCTACGTGAATTAACACTTACTGCTCAAAAGCAAAAATGCAGCAACTGCTCTGGGTCAGTGGACACTTTTCTGAAGCCGTCAAAAGATATCATACTCAAACTGGAGTAGGGATATTCCTTTGTACATAGCTAAAAAAGAGTAAAGTATGTACTCTGTGCTGTTACTATTGCTGCTGTGTTTATTTTTGAAAGTTTAAAGGTCTCTTCATATTAAACTGAATTTAAGAGAAGATACATCTTCATCCCAGGTGCTAAACTAAGTATTGCCTTATTTTTGTAAGTGATGAAAAAGACATATAAACACTGCCACTGATTTCCTTACAACTAAGGGAATTAAAGACGGTTTTGCTCCGTCTGTGGAACTCTTTTCTTAAATAATTTTTTTTTCCTTTTGGTATGGAGGTATCAAATTCCATTCCTGTGGAGTGCCAGCTGGTTCTACGTGCTCTCTGTATTATCACTAAACACCAAATATTATTACTACAGATTCTGTAATTATTAGTTTTGTTAAGCCATATTTTTTAAAAAATACAGGGCCTAATGAGGCAAGCAAGGCAAAAAAATAGGTGAATTTAAGAGACACTCAATGTTTGAGGGAAGCATCATCATAGGTGTAACAAACAGAAGATGCCAGAACAATGATTTGCATTCTCAGCTAATTCAACAGGTAAAATGTCTCCAAGTCACCTTTGCTAGATAATTTTAATCAACTAAAGTTAAAATCAGACTATGGTGGGCACAATCAATGTTGAACTTGAGGAGCAAGACATTCTAACTGGGACTGTGTTACTACAAAAGCTCTGAGAACCAACCAAAGGAACTCACATGGTCATTTCACAGATTCATTCCAAAGAATGAAATTAGGGCTGTGCTTGTCAACATCTGGCAAACATGCAGTTGATTAACAAAAGCTGTTTCACAAACTTGGGTACTACCACCTTGGGGATCTGGTGTCCTGACTGCTTGCAAGAGCTTCTGGGGTATCCCTATTAAGTTTAAAGGTTTCATCTGAGCCACAGCCAGTGCTCTGACAAAACATCAACTCCCTATTCCTATGATCATGCTGCTGATCAGTATTTCCAAACAATGTGTAATAAAAGGACTCAAGTCTGCAAGAACAAAACGCAGGCTTGATGCTCAAGTACATGTTGTTTCTATCCCAATTCTTGTAGTCAGTTCTAGAAAGACTGCCAATATTTTCCTCTCATCTTTAATTGAGACTTACTTTTATCCATAATGCACTGGCTGGACTTCAATGCCTGAGATTTGCATGTTACTGAGAAATTTCATTTTACCAGTGCCTACATCAATCGTTTTTGGTTCATTACTCTAGGCACTGGGACTGCAGAGACTCAGAGCATGTGCTCAGCTTCCTGCATTGAGCCAAAACAGACAAGTAACAGTAAATGAAGTTAAGCATTTGTGTACATCTTTTACAGAAGGGTGACCCTAAACTTCTGTGTATATGTTATAAATTGACCATTTAAATGACAATTTTTATATTGCCTCTCAAAAAATGATCGAGTTCAAGCAGCTCTGAGAATTATCCATAAAAATGAAAGAGCAGGGAGGAGAATGTGCACTTCAGTTCTGCAACATAATTAAGTGTAGTACCATTAAATATTAAAATATAGGAAAATGTTTTCACTGGTAATTAGTCATTTTAAAATATGAGGGAAAACATTTTTTTTGTACATTTCTTTCTGCAGCAGAAAGAAAATAAGCTCTCACACTTCACTCAAGCTTAGACATTTACTGTAACCTTTGCTAGTATAGATGAGACCAATTAATTTGTAAGATACCTAACACTGGATGGTTGCCAAAAATCCATCAATGCAAAAACACGTGCCAGCTGAACAAAGCAAGGTCAATCTATGTGAGCTCAGGAGAAAACCAGGGTGAGAACTTGGAGCTCTTTTTATTTTCCTGACACATCAGGATTCAAGGACTGACTTGTGCTCTGCCAGAATGATCTGACCTAAATGGAAATGAAAAAATTGAAACTGAAGGCTGTAATCATGCTTCAAGAGGATACGTAAAATACACTTAAACTAGTGACCACCCAGCCTTCTAGAATTTAAGGCTGAAATCAAAGTGTGCTTTGGATTAAATTTTGAAAAATCAGCAATTAAAAAGAAAAGCATTTTTCAGTTCTGAAGGGCCACGATGAAAATTCTGTAACACAATCACATATTTCTAGAAGCAGTTTTAATTTCCATAAAATACTTGTTTAGTCCCCATGTGTTGCCTGGTCCAGTCGAGAGGTGGCGTCCCTGCCCAAAACAGGGAGGTTGGACTAGATGATCTCTAAGGTCCCTTCCAGTCTAGGCCATTCTATGATTCTACAAATAACACATCTGGAATTGGTGTCTTGGCTGAGCACTAAGAATTGCTAACATACAATAAGCAAGTAGGTTGCAAATGTATATAGAAAGGGCTTGTATGGCTCATACACTAACCCCCACCCACAGACATTAGGAGGATCATAAATCACTCTCCTGCACAAGAGGCACCTCAGGCTTTTAATTCTGTGACCTCAACAGCCAGTTTTGGTCATGGACATTTAAGCAAGTGTCAAGTTCGAGAGATGGAGCTGCATGTGGAGATGGGAGCTGCAAAGATGGGCTGAAGCCCAAGGTAACTTCTTCTGTAGGCCTTGCAGAGGTCTCTTCATCGATAACTCCAATGCCTTCTTGCTCACCATTTGTTTGGCAAAATCACGTATGTGAATATTTTACAAACAAATGCATTACACTGGAAACGTCTGACTCTGGTTCAGAAAGCTCTACTGCAAATCTGAGCATTCCCAAATTCTGAGCGATAAGCTATCACCCAAAGGAAGCAAAAAGAGTGTAATTTATAGCCTTTGAAAGGCCACACTCTCCTGCAAAAAGCATCTCACGTAGCTCTGGAAACGGAGAAAAACAAACACTTCAACTGAACTGGGCCGAGCTTCCAAATGGAAACTCATGAACCCCAGAACTGGACACACTCTGAAAATCAGGAACTGTTTTGTTTTCTTCCTGCTCTTCTCCTTGAGGAATTTGGATTAAAGACAGTAATTTACAGGCTCTGACAGGTAATTTAAAAGAATAAATCTTAGGACTTATAAGACTGTATTGAATTCT